ATACATAATGTAATTGTGTGCATTTTTACTTGATATCATGGACGGAAATATCACGGAAACTATTTCACCAGCCAAAAAAAATCCAAAGGGAAAGATTTTTAAAAAACATAGTATTTAAATTTTATCTGTATATAAGGGGAGTTTTTGATTTATATTTATATTTTTCTTATGTTTATCGATAAGTTTTTGTTTAACGTTTTTAAAAACATTTCGATAACAGACATATAATTTTAGATTCGCCTAATAAATAACCCCGGAAATAATACCCCTATAACAAAAATTATTTGTAAGGTGTACCAGGTACCTATCTAATAATTAATAATTTAAAACAAATAGTCAATTTTTTATATCACGGTAAATAATAATATGTAAAAAGGCAGGTAAGTGGATGTCGCTCAGCTGTACAGTAGGTTACAAGTTGGTCATTGTTTAATGGATTGTATTAAACTTGAATTCAATGATATAATATCATTGTATAAGAAAAACGATTCTGAACGGAGACGGTTTGTCAGTCTGTATATTTTATATTGTCATTAATTATTTTATTTATTTAATTATTATTTTTTTTATTCGTTGCTACGGTGATAAACAAATTGTTAGAAATTAAAATCCCATTTTAAGCGGTTTATCGTAATTTTTCAGTACTTTTTCCCGTGGCATTAAATAACTATTGAGAAAATCGAAAAATGACCTCTCTAAAGTGCCATCTTGGTCCAATTTGCTAAAATATAAGGTACTATATGTTGAAATCAAAGCACTCCTTCTGGTAGAAATTTTGTATACAGGATATAAAAAAAATAAAAAAATAAACACCATTGTAAAACCACTAGCTTCCTTGCTCCGCTCAGAATCTAAAAAAATATATATATAATATTAATATTATCTATTTTATAATCTTTTTCTTAAATTAAAAAATGTATTTATTAATTTTTTATTTCTTTTAAATTTATCACATTTAAAATTTAATAATTATAATAATAGGTTACAATGATGTGTGTTTTTATAAACATTTGAATTTCAAATTTTGGCAAAATACAATTCATAAATTTTACTATATTAATAATAAAAATGTCGATAAGATAAAAGTAAATAATTCACTTATTCATTTTAAAACACCTTATTTATAATATAGTATACATAATTTATACATAATTAATAATTACTTGAATAATTATTATTCTTACACTTATTAATTATTTGTTATTATTTTTATATTACATTTTTTTATAGTATTTTATTCCAGCCTGTTTCATAAAAACAACGGATCATGATTGTGAATGCGGAATTATTGAAGAATCTGATGTTAACTGTTCGAGAGTCTCGTATTCTTCTTTCAAAACTACGGCCAAAGAACAATTTCAAACGTAATCGCTGAGTATAATTATAACAAAAGGTGCTCTGCTGTACAGTAGGTTACAAGTGGGTCACTGTATAATGGATGGTATTAAATTTGAATTCAATGATATAATATCATTGTATAAGAAAAACGATTCTGAGCGGAGACGGTATGTCAGTCTAGGTATAAGACATATTATATACTTATCTATGGTATTAAAAAAAATTTACCTATAATAAATTCCAAATTAATTATATCTCAATGTCCATTAGGTACCTACTTATAATGCGTTATACGTCAACAACAAACCCTGATACTATCATAGATATATAATAGTGTACTTTAGAATTTCAAGTACCCACGAAAAATATTATACAATCACAATAAAATAACTTAAATAGTTCTAGGTTTTTATTATGTAATTTCGTCCAAATTTGAATTTAAAATGTCTGTAAAAAATAACTGTGTTCATATATTTTTTAGATTATTTGGTTACAGTATGAACTATTTATGAGAACCTTTGTTTTAAATTTTCAATTCTTATAGATATAAAAGTTGAACATTTTATACATTTTTAACTACAAAATAATTATTCAATTTTAAATTAGATAAATGTTGTCAAAATTCGATCTTTAAATGCTTATAAAAAAAAATTGTGCCTATGTATTTTTAATATTTTTCAACTGATATTGTAACAATGTATCAGGAGCCTTGTATTAAATTTTTACACTTTTTGGCCCTACAGATAAAACTTTATTGATATTTATAGAATAAAAAACTAAAAAAATTGGAAATTAAAATGTCCGTAGACAACTCAAAAAGAGTCAAAATATTTGGAAAATGAAAATGTGCCTAAACAGTTCAAAATAAATCAAAACATTTTGAAAATGTTATCGTGTATAGAAAATGCTAGTATAAACATTCATTCAAAATTGCATGTACCTATGGTCATTTGTTTAAAGTTATACACAACCCAAAAAAAAAAAAAAAAAATTAAACTTGGTTTTCATACTTAGTAGTATAAAAAAAAATATCATGAAAAAGAATGTGAAAAAAAAATTATTCACAGAGTTAAATTGAAATCCAAATATACCTGTGACGTCATTGCGTCGCGGTCGGACGTCTCCGCGCGGCACTGGCAGCCGGTCGCAACAAACCGTATGAAGAATATGTATAATAATATTCTCGTCGCCTGCCGATCGCTAATCGCTGATTATTTTTTTTTATTTCCATAATTATTTCCTTTAATTATTTATAAATTATAAATATAACACTATTCCTAAATACTTATAAAGTTATAAATGATAAACGTCATTGCGTCGGCCGTTTCCAAGCGGCATCGGCAAACGTATAAAAATTACTATTATTATCGTCGAATGTCGACTGTTATTATTATGTCGCAGATTCATGATGTGTTTCATTTTTATTTGCTATTATTTAATTTCGTATATAATACCAAGTGAAATTTAATAAATTTACATTATAAATCTCACTACTTATACACAGAATAATAATGTCTTTAATACCATTCGATTTTGATCCTGACATTGAAGGTATAGACCGTTACTTACAAGAAGATGATGACGATCCGGCTGCCAATTATGAAGGTAGATTAAATAATTCCAATTGGTGTTCTTGTGGATACTGTAAAGGCATGCTTAGTGACATAGATCGTTTATGCTGCAATGAGTTACCAAATTTAGAAAAAATACGAGAACAAGAAGGGAAATGTATTACTTTACATCGATCGTTTTCGAAACTAATATTGGTCCATTTATTAAAACGCACAGGTGAATTATCGCGATTAGGAAATCTATGCGTTCCTTTATTGTTACTACAACCAAATACACTACAATACGGCATTATTTTCTTCGAATATTGAGTATTTGAGTATATTATATTATTGCAGTACACATAAGGAACAAAAATCATATTACGCGACGCACTAGTGCACTACATACCGACTAGGCGAAAAGTGAATATAGGTACTGACAAATTGGTTAAAATTGTTCTGTCAACAGTAAGTCTTGGGTATCATTTATAAGTATTTAGGAATAGTGTTATATTTATAATTTATAAATAATTAAGGACCTATTTATGGAAATAAAAAAAATTATAATGGGCGATTAGTGATCGGCAGGCGACGAGAATATTATTTTATACGTATTCTTCATACGGTTTGTTGCGACCGGCTGCCAGTGTCATACGTTGAATGTGAGTAGGAAGGTCTCGTTTAGCTCATTCGATCCGTCAGATAATGCCATTTCGTTGTCACTATGGAGCAGTGGAGTGTCATTCACCGTGTGTTTGCGTACGATGCGTTTGTGAAAAACAATGAATCGGTAGTTAAGGTGCAGCGCGCATTCAGACGAGAAGACTCCGTATTCTCGGGAGTTGTTACAGTACGTTTAGCAGCACCAATACCTACGACGCTGAAGTGAAGTCTGAATGCGCTCTGTACCTTAACTACCGATTCATTGTTTTTCATAAATGCATAGTACGCAAACACACTGTGAACGACACTCCACTGCTCCATAGTGACAACGAAACGACATTATCTGACGGGCAAGGGCGCCCGCAGAAATTTTCACCGGGGGGGGGGGGGGGGGCAAAGTTTATATTATACATATATTATACAAAGCCATAACATATTATTAGGTATAGTATTTTATAGTTTCATTACAAACTTAGTAAACAAACTGATGATACCATAATATGATTAACAGTAGGTATATTTTCATCAAAATATTATATGAGACATCAAGAGCACTGAAAAAAAAAATCTTATAAATTATTATATTATACTAGCTGATCCCGTGCACTTCGTTTCCCGTTAAATGTACCAACTCTATACGACTCAAACATTGTTCAATGCGTTATTTAATATTCGGTGTATGATGTTCTAGATTTATCTTAACTTTTCTGTTGCCCGGAATAAAAATTCTGAATTGCAGCAGTACATTATCAGATAGGTAATTTACCTGCGGTAGATCGCGGACCCCGTGCTGTTTGTACGTAAGTGTATGATTTAACTCAAAAAGTACCAAAGTTATACCAAGTTTGACGTTTTTACTTAATTCCACCTACCTATAAATCCTAACCTAACCTAACCGTACTAAAATCCGATGAATAAAAAAACCAAATTTAACCCTTTTTAAATTAGCGTATCTTCTTCCCATAGTTCTAATCTACACACCGTCATTCATTTATATATAAGATATATTTACAAAAAATAATAATACAAATCAACAAACATGCCCGTTTGACCAATAGCAACCAATAAAATATAATCCACAATAGAGTAAATAAAGACAACGGTATCGAGTTCAAATCCCAGACATCAATAAATAGTTTTTGCAGTTTTTCTAATTATTCAGTTGACTTTTTAAAAATTTTCTTTCGTAAAAACCTTCACCTGGCAATTACGAACATCTTAAAAAAAATTTGAGCAAAATCGGCCCAGCCGTTCTCAACTGATGCAATTTCGAATTTGTTGTCTCCATTTTTATATAGATATATAGATATATTATAAATTATAATATATCATACGTTATTTTTTCAGCCGATCAGACTCGAAGAAATTGACGGGTCTGCGATGTTTTCTTATACAAACTATTGATGTGCTGCTGTCCACCGAATTCCACACGGTTCATTCGACCGCCGACCAGGGATATAGGAAAAATAGTCGACTAGGCATAATATAATATACTATATGTATATGTATACGTTGTTATATAGTTACACAACATCGCATTCATATCATTGCGCGTTGCTTGTATTATTGTGAAATAAGATTTCTATACATACACTGTCAAAATCACTGTATAATATATTATAATACTATATAGAAAAAACAAAACGCTTTATATTTATTATTATTAGTATTTATTCCACAAGCTATATTAATACGGATATCAGTGGAAAATGGCAGGAAAGAATGTACAAACATTTACCGAATAGGTGATTCGTTTACATACCTACCACTCATGTCTAAGAACGATTTATCCATAGTGTTTAAAATATATAATATTCTGATGTACATTTGTATCGACTATATCATACATACATACATACTAACATACATCGATTCCAGTATTCCATAAAAAAATTTGAGCAAAATCGGCCCAGCCGTTCTCAACTGATGCAATTTCGAATTTTTTGTCTCCATTTTTATATATATAGATTAACTAATTAGATTAATTAGATTATTGGTCATTAAATAAAAATTGCATGCGCCCTAGGCTCCATAGCAAATAATTTTATTGTTTCAATGTTTCATCTATAATGTTTGATTTTTGAGCTTGCACATAAGTTTTGTAAACATTCATTAATGCCAAGCCATTCAAGCGGTTCTCAGTTACAGTACTACGAAGCCATGTTTTAAGTCTTTTAAGTGAGCTAATTTAAAGCAAATATAAAACATAATTAATAATTGAAGTAGTAAAAATAAAAATATATTATAAATTGTAATACAAACCTAAAAGACCTTTCAACACTACATGTAGTAGATGGAAGTGTAGCTGCTATTAAAAGACATTTTTTTTATTGAAGGTAGAAATGTGACTTCATCTAATAACTTCAGAAAATTTTATCACTAATCACTTATGATTAATCAATTATTGATCTATTTTATTATAATAATAAAAATAATATAATGCTACAAAACTTCTAAAATATTTATAAAAATATACTGTAATATTATAAAAATTAAAAACATTGGTAAAAAAGCGGGAGGGCCCCCCCCCCTGTGGGCTCCCTTGCTGACGGGTCGAATGAGCTAAACTAAACCTTCCTACTCACATTCAACATTGAGAAAAACCCGTTTACTTTTGTCCCTTTTCCCGTGGCCCATACTGTATATTAGATTATTACATGGAAAATATAAAGATTCGAATTTTAAGAAAACATTTTTTCTCGTAATAACTTATAGTACAATATCTATTGGCCAGGAGATATTTTTTTTGGCCTCCCTATAGTTGTTAAAATTACCTTTCAAAAAATTTTAATGAAACGCCTGGGCCAAGGGGTAACCGAAAATTGGTACAGTAGGTATATTGTGTTTCGAATAAAAAAATGAAATAGGCCGAATATTGGTAAGTAGTATAAAATTATTTACTTTCAGTGGTTCAAAAAATATGATAAGAATATGTATGTATTGTTAGTAATTAAGATTTACAGTAATATTAAAAGTATCAAAGTAAAATATATGGTGTTAAGGGTCCTGCACCGTTGCATATTTAAGGAGTATTATTTAGGCAATTCATGTGACATATGAATTAATACTGTATCTATGTGTGAGTAGTAAATGAACATTAGTGTGCGTAATCCGTTATCGTTTCCGAGAATCACTGCACGTCGAGTCGGGCAACCTCGCGGAAGCATTTCTCACACGCGCACGCACATCACGTCAATACATCACGAAAAATGAAATATATTCTGGTTTGCACGACTATAAAACTACTAAAAGCGGTAGTAAATTAATCATACTTCCCGAAGTTCGATTGTAATTTCGAAAAAATGGTTGAATTTATAAACTTTTAGACTATGCTTCTTAGGAATCACTTTTTTATTTACCAACCATTGAGTCGTCTTCGTGTTAAAAAAACAAACAATGTACCTACCAATAGCTCTATTTCTCTAAAATGTTTGTATTGCTTAAATTGCTAATATTGCTCCATCAGTTGAATAAATATTGTAATATACAAAAATAAAATAATAACTATATTCATATTTAAAATAGGTAATTTTAAACTTACACCTTCAAACATGATCCGAGATAAATCTTGTACACTTCTTATAGCTTTTAGTCTACAATATTTTCTAAATTCTGTGTAGCTTGGTATACCATGATCGCGGCTTCGTTGAATATCCAAGCTGGCAATGTCCATTCTAAACACGTTGTTTGGATGAACACCAGGGCCGTATTTAGGGATTTTTCGCCCCCGGGCACAATATTTATGGCGCCCCTTTCCAACACATTTTTTTTTAATACCATAGAAGTGGTGGCTAAATTTTATTTTTTTTTTTTTGGGGGGGGGGCATAACATTAATTCATTTTTTATGTTTCCCTTTCTCATTGAAATTTAATTTGCAGTTAATTTTTAGCAATTTTAACTAGGTACCTATGCGTTCCAATATTAGATTTTTAATAGTAGGTAAACTTTACAAAAAAAAACATAAGTAACTAGTTTATAACTTAGGTCTTAGGTACTATCTACCTAGAATCTTCCATGATTCAAATAATAAAGAATGATATACAATTAATAATATGTACTATAATATAGTAATATAATAATATTTATTGTTTATTTTACAATTTTTTTCTTGATTGAATATCAGCAAAATGATCTATAATATCTTCATATTTAATTTGTTTTGTTATTTCTGATTCAATATTTAATATTGCATGTGAGTTTAATCCCTCTTTAGAAATTGTTGACCTTAGGTATGTTTTTATTCAGCGTAAAGTTGAAAATGACCGTTCAGCGGTACAGTTTGAACAGGGAGTACTTACATAAAAACATGTGTAAAGCAAAGCAATACTAACACACGGGTAAATGTCTTCTGATCCTTCTATTTTTAACATAGAACTCATATCAATTATAGTTGATGGAGAATTTTTCATACTTTGAATATAACTTTGAAAATGAACACATTCGTTAATAAATGTTACATCCAAATCTTTTGTATACATTGAGTACAAATGTTCAGCTAAAACACGTACCTACTTCTGATGGTTTTATCTTTGTGAGTCTTAAAAAAAAACTATACTTTGTTATGAAATTATCGTAAACTTTCGACTTGTTAATTCCTCTATTATAGAATCACAAATCACTAAATATGTGTTTACTTTGAATTCCAAACTATGGTTTCTACTTTCTC